AAGTTGTAGTCTCTGTTTGTATGTCTGTCTGCAAAATTTTGCTGTAATCTGTTTCGCGAAAAATGCAATATTTTGGGAGGAAAAATTAGTAAATTTTTCAAAAAAAACATATATAGATGTGTATAGATAATGATATAGATGTATAATTAAAAAATTGTATTGATAGCTAAATGGTTAGATAGATAGTTCAATGGTTAGATTGATAGTTAAATAAATAGTTATGTTAATAGTTGGTTAGATAGAGATAAGTTAATGGTTAGATAGATAGTTAAATGGTAAAATAGATAGTTAACCCTATTCCTGCTGTGGGAGGAGGTCTATTTGATCCCCGCCTGTAGTTTTTTTACATAACTCAAAAAGTATTGGTCTGAGGCTGTTGAAATTTTATTATTCAATTTGTTAGAATATTACAAGATAAGAACCAAGTGTTTTTTTTCCGCATAAAGTTTTCAAATTTCTAACTTAAAACGGTCACAACTTTAAAGGAAGTGTTCGCGGAAAATTAAGAAAAGAATTTTCACACAGTGTCTGCTAACTGTTAACAGGAACGCCGAATAGAAATCAACATAGTCGCAGTTCGCAGTTTTCTACACACACTCCCTTTAACGCCTACTATGTCGTAATTAAAAATAATTCTAAAAGTTTAAAATTTCTGGATTAATTAAATTTCTCAATTTAAGTTGTATGCATTCACTGCAGAGGGCTCAACTAATTTTGTACAACATTTAGATTATACTCTAGGGATTAATCTAGATCCTGTATATATATATATATATATATATATATATATATATATACCGGCAAATCAGGAAATATTGGATAAAATTCATTCCAGAATATTCAGGGAGACAAAATGGCGGATTTCTCCGGGAGAACCGTGGCGACTTTTTCAAGGAGAATAACCGTGGATTTGCAGGGAGAAAAATCGCGGATTATTTAGAGAGAAAAATGGCGGATTTTACCTGAAGAACAATAGCGGATTTTTAAAATGAGAATAACGGCGGATTTTTTAAAGAGAGCAATGGTGGATTATTTAGAGAGACAAATGGCGGATTTCTCAGGCAGAACAATGGCGGTTTTTTAAAAAGGAAATAACAACTGATTTGTTAGGGAGAAAAATGGCGGATTATTCCGAGGAAAAATGGCGGATTTCTCAAGAGAACAATGGTGGATTTTTAAAAAGAGAATAACGACGTATTATATCTAGAAATAAAAATGGGTGATTTTTTAGGAAGAAAATGGTGGATTTTAGGAAAAAAATAGCGGAATATTTAAGGGAGAAAAAGGCGGGGAAGTAAGAATCATACAGTCAGTAAACTCTAATGTATAGTTGAACAATTCTAGAACTTGTTTACTCCAAACAAAAACACAGTAGAAGTCTCTATCTTTTGCCTGGAACCAAACCAATCTTTTTATTTTAAACAAACTCAGAGAAACTAGTTCACAAGATATGTCAATGAGGCGCCATTAACGTTTTTTTTAAACAAGGATGTCCCTAGCAACGATCACACCGTTTTGAAAATTAATGAACGTTGTTAGAAAATATGATGTATTTACATAATTAAAGAGATTCAGGAAATAAATATTATTTTTAGGAAATATTTTTTATAGGAAATTTAGATGAATAATTGAATAGAGGGGTTAGGATTTGAGAGTATTTTAACTACACATTTTTATATTTTCTGCATTATTTTTATAGTTGCACGTGAAAGCATGCCAATTAAGTCACTTTTTTTAATAATGATACTCATGTGACGTGTTCAATATTCATTTGATAAAGAACTATAACATGATAAACGTCATTAAAAATAGTGTATCCACTTTTATATTGTATCTTTATTAATCAATATTCAACTGTTAATGTTTATTTCCTGTAGTTATTTTTACTGCAAACTAGCATTCAGTAATATTATTCATTCCATACATTCACCAGTCTTTCCTCCAATTCTATTCTATCAATGCAATGCTTTTTCATCTTCATGCGCTATTAGTACCATTTAGCAATCCACAAATCATAAATCCACTATTATTATACTGCATTGCAATCCTGCTTTATTCCTATACTACATGATGCTGTAATCACACCAACTCAATTCCACAACTACTCATTCTGCTTGCAGTTCAAGGGCTGAAGCCAGATTTTATGCATAAAGGTCAAGTTCTTAATCTGAACTTAAGTTTAGTCTTTATGGCAAAAAATCTTGACTTTGAGGCACTTCAAATTTTGTAAGTGCTATGCATCCAAATGTTGCAAAACTTTGAAAAACAAATAAAATTAAAAAGTTTGAAGTTTGAATGTTGAAAAAAGTTTTTGAATTTAATTGAATTATACACAGTTTGAGTGGTATAAAGCAACTTGGTGAATTTCTATGGATTTTACGATATTAGATATTACGATATTATTTAACCATTTTTCCTTATATACACAACAGATAGAAGAAAAATTAGAGATCAGCCTATAGAGTATACACCCTTTCATTTTTCGCGAACACTCCCTTCAAAATATATGGAAAAGTTCTCTTTGTTTACGAAAGTATTATTGTATGTTGTTCCACAATTCTAAAAAATTCCAACTTTTCAATTCTCATTTATTTCTACAAGTTTAACAACATCAAAGCATATTATTCACAAAGTTAAATGTTTGTCTCCCCTTTGCACAATGGTTTACCTCGGGGATAATTCTTTCAAATTAAAAAAAGCCCTCTGGTGGAGAAAAAAAATACTTTTTCCCACAGGGAAAAAATCTTAATTTCAATTTGAAAGAAGTAACCTTGAAAACAACCTTGATTCCTACAAAGTGGACCTAACGGGCGACAACTAGGGTTTCCAATCTTTTCCGGATCCATACCAGGACGATAATTTCTTTTTGGAACCTCATCGGAAGGCCTTTACGGAACCCGATTTATCCGGAAAATTACGGAAACTCTAATAATAATAACATGACTATTCAATACTCATTCTAGTAGCAGTTCCTCAGACTATAGATATATAGATCTGTAGATGGCACTATTTGGCTTGGTAAGTTTCACGAAATACTTTCCAAACCAAATACCTTGCCACCTACTCATCTAGAGTATCTATAATCTGAGACCAGTTCCCACCTCCTGGGGAGGAATATCTATGACCGAGGTGCGTAGGTCAACCTTGGTATAGTTCTCAATACAGGGTAGAACAAAAAATATGCCTGGAAAGGAAGGAGGTATAAGTTTTACAGCTTAAAGGGACTGTATACACTTTTTAAAGGGATTCTTCATTTTTAAAGTGGCAGGTTTGATTCACAATAGTACCCTGGATAATAAGATGCTTTTCTGTGGACGAAATATGGAAAATTTTGTAATCCTTAATTAGTCCAAGGTTAAAGGGTACATTGTAAAGTGGATATGCCACGCCAAATAGATTCTAGTACAATAGATGGGAACGTAGAATTTGTTCATTCTCAGTACAGTTGTATTCTGACGTCACAAGTGTCAATTCAGTTTTGGTGTCCGACAAAATCATCAATAATAGTGATAATTTTAGAATAAAGTGCTTATCTTACAGTAAAATAAGTGCAATTTTATGTGTTCTTTAGTTTCTGTTTTTACACTTTTTTATTTAATCTTGGAAAACATGTCAATTAATGAGAGACAATTTCGTTTTCCTTGTTATATTTGACACTTGAGACGTCGTGTATAATTGGTTCATTTCTCTGTTGCCTCCTATTGTACTTGATAATCTATTTGTGCCACGCTAAAACTGACTTATCAATTCAAATCACGACTTTGGTCCCTTTTACTTTTTCTGCTTTTGAATTTAATGCGGCGATCCTTGGCAAACAGTTGGCAGAGTTTAGCATTAATTCTCAAATTGAATTTGGAATCCATTTCCCTAATAACAATATACAACTCAGCCCGAATCATAGATTAATAAAAATACAGAAAGAACACTAGATGTCGTCTTTTCAAGATTTAGGTTTTTGTTCACAATAACCCGAGGCAGAAGTCCAAAGGAGTTACGCGCATGCTCTCTCTCTGTCATGTCACTTAAGGCGGCATGCGTGTAACTCCTAGTGTATGTTTCTGTAACTCCAAGTGTTCTATCTGTATTGTTATTAATCTATGGTTCGAAGTTTATACCATTGAGACTGAAACTTGAAAAGAGCATTTACTCAGTCAATCATCTTGTTTATTCAACTCTCACAGATTATTAAAATACATAGATTATGCAAAAAAGGTAATTGTTGTTTTGTATTATTAGTAAAGAGACTCCCTGCAAATATGGCAAAGCCCAATTCACTGCGGTACCCTTTGTCTGATCAAGTATGAATTAGATATCAATGTTTTTGTTTTTATTTACATTTGAGGCTTCTCTGCAAAACTGACTTGGAAATTAATCTTGCTTAAAAGAAGCAATGGAAAAATTATCAGAATTAAACTCTTTCGAGTCTGGAAAACGAAATTTTTTATCAGATTAAGGTTTCAAGGGAACCGTAGTAAATCAGGCATTGACTTCTTTGCATGAAGGGTTACTTAAAAATACGCTTACAGTCCCTTTAAGTCAATAAGTCACTTGACCTATTAGCACCCTTTTACATACTGAGATGTATTCTAACGGTAAAAAGAGGTGTTTCAATCTCTGCGACAATTATAGGAACAAAAGCTGTATTAAGATTATATTGCATATTTAACAAAAACTTATTTTGTTTGATCTAATTTCATTTTAGACTATGCTTGCTGCCCAAAAACATTCCCGGCTTTGATTAACATGTACAGTACAGTACAGTACAGTACAGTACATTACAGCACAGTACAGTACAGCACAGTACAGTACAGTACTGTACAGTAGAGTACAGTACAGTACAGTACAGTAAAGTACAGTACAGTACAGTACAGTACTTTACAGTACAGTACAGTACAGTACAATACTGTACAGTACAGTACAGTACATTACTTTACAGTACAGTACAGTACAGTACAGTACAGTACAGTACAGTACAGTACAGTACACAAAACATTACATACCAGGTCCTCTTGAGCCCCCGGAAAGAAGACGACCAAGTCTGAATATAACAGCTCTCTCATACTCTTGTACAACCTAACAAATAAAAAAACATGTAAATAAAAAGATTCACAATACAGTTCTTACTTCAGGCCCAGGGTTCAGAGTCTTTTAAAAAGTTGACAAAGAGTTTTTGCCACAAACTCTGATTTTCTAATTCCTATATCTTCCTAACCCAATGTCGTATAGCTTATAAATTTCAAACTATGATGTCTATTAGATCAATCAATCTAAGTTTGAAATATCAAAGATTTACACCATCAGGCTCTAAAGAAATAGGAATTATAGAATTTGAGTTTGTGATAAATACTTAATTCCTTTAAAATTTATCACTTTTAGCTCTTTAGAATCAATTTTTAAACAAACCATTCCCAGACCGAACTTACTTTACAGCTAATATATTATTAAAGAGCAAATCAACGGAAATATAATATTTATAAATCCAAACAGCAAAACTAATAATTACATTGCAATCTATATATATTCTTTGCTTGTCTGTCTTGCTGTTTGTTCGTTAGTATGTTACCCACTATATACAAATGTGGTGAAAGATAATCGATGACTATAGGTTGTAATATCTGAATGATTTGTTTGAAATTAAATTTATTTTTTACAGTCTAAGTCGTATGTTGCAATTTTCTCAATTTGTATGGACGCTAAGTTGTTCGGTATGAGACGTCTTTAACATTTTTCTCCTTATAGACGCAACAAATAGAAGTAAGATTAGTAGCGATCAAAAGCGTTTTTTTATCGCATTAAGCCTATACCCCCCTTTCATTTTTCGCGAACACTCCCTTTATTACCAAGCAGCTGAACATTTTGGTAGAAGTTGAGAAGAGAATGGTAAATATTGTTAAAAATACATAAAAGTGTTCTCAACATAATTCAAGTCATTCTTTTTTATTCAGAAGGGGGGGGGGTGTTACTATTCCTGCCAAAAATGTCAGGTTTGGAAATTAAGTTTTATTTTTAAATTTGAAAGTTAAACCTACATAACATAAGCAAAAACCTATGTACTCTAAATTTAAAAAAGAATTGTTGAGGGTTTTCATTTTTTTCAATGTTGATTTCAGGAGGGTTTCATTATTCTTTTTTTTATCGTTTTAAAGGACCATTCTTTAAAGGATTTGAGTTTTTGCCACAAATATAAACTTCCTCATCCCAAAATCTTTACAACCTGATTTATATTTCAAATTTTCATTACTGGATCTACCAGAATTTATAGTTTGAAATATTGATCAACCTAAATCGGTTTGCAACGATATAGGGATTAGAAAATTAGAGTTTGTGACAAGAAATCAATTCCTTTTGCGTTGGATTAAAATCTGGCCTGTTTTCATACATTACATCTCTTCTTGAAGAGCTATCTGGAGAAGAACAAAGAATATTCGAATTTCTTATAATTTATACGCAATCATTAGCTTTTCTCATATTAGGACGCAAAAAACTGGATGCCACACTATAGTTTCAGTAGAAGTAAATATTTCCATTGAAAGTTATAACGCCGCTATAAGGATTTATCTCTAATTGGATAATGAGCTAGATAGAAAGATAGATGTTACCGCCAAACTATTTCTTTTGGTTCAGAATAAACAACAAATACATGACTGAACCCTGATTGGATCAGGCGCTAGTGGACTCGGCATACTAGAGTGGCTATACGAGGTCACACAGTTTAACTAGTGAATTCCATATCAAAAGGTAACATTGTGAATTGAACATTACGTCTGCAGTCCCTTAAAGGGTCCCTTAAAGGGAAGGGTCTCAAATATAAATAGATTTATTTTGAGTAATTGTTCAGATATTTACGTCTTTTATTGTTTTCGTAGAACTCCGTATTTATAGACATAATTTAGCTATTTAAAGGCCAACATCAATTATTTTCATAGAGAATAAATTTCATCATTCATTTTTTAAAACAAAAATCGATGATGCTTATTTAAATATCAATTCTTTTTGAAAATAAAATATTTAAAGAATTAATAGATATGATAAAAGGTTATGATAAAAGTTCAGTTCAGTTCAGTTCAGTTCAGTTCAGTTCAGTTAAGTTCAGTCAAGTTCAGTTTAGTTCAGTTCATTTCAGTTTAGTTCAGTTCAGTTCAGTTCAGTTCAGTTCAGTTCAGTTCAGTTCAGTTCAGTTCAGTTCAGTTCATTTCAGTTCAGTTCAGTTCAGTTCAGTTCAGTACTTAAGTAATCTAGTTTTATCTTATTCATTTACAGTCTTTTGCTAATTCATAATCATAAGTAATCTATTCTAATTTGAGAAGCTTTTTAAATTTAAAGCTTCTCTTGATTTATATGTGTATCTATGCTATTTAACAGCTTGACATAAATTAAAATTGAAATAGAAAGTCGTCTTCATTGTATGGATATATTTAAATCTTCAAATAAGAACTTTTGTCTAATAAATCTCGGGCTTGATCTTCACGTTTAGCAGAGACCTACGGTTTAATCATAATTCTTATACGAAAAACCGTACTTTAGTATTTTAAAGGGCCCACATAGGATATCGAGATCAAGTGTTCAAGGTTTACAATATCCACACAAAAGTTTATTGTATATCAAATCTAAAGCAAACATACCCTGTATATTATATTATATATTATATATATGTACGTACATGTGTAGTCTATATAGATGTTATTATTATAAAGAATGTTTGTATATTTGCTTTATTGGATATTTAACTTTTTATACAAACACTAGAGAATAAACAAACCTAGATCTGGGCAAACTTACACTTTTCCAAGATACACAGTCTAGAGGTGGTCGATTAACCTACTTTTTCATTTGCAACCCAGAGATTCAGTTAGCAAACTTGGTCAGAAGTATTTTAAACACTCTGACAGGTTCAGTTTTTTTTTCGCGACCGTACAATTTTTGCGCGGCCATTTTGCAAAAAAAAAGTTAAGATCAAAACAGTTACGAGTAAGATCGAATTAAAATTCTTCAAAATATATCCAAAGATCCGTCTTAAAACACTGAATTCAGAAATATTGATTTTAAATAGATTTTTTAATTATTTTTATCAAAAATAAAAATATGGACAGTATTCAGTATTAAAATATTTTTTTTTTCAATCCTACTAGGAATTTTTTTAGTCTATTATTTCTATTAAATGGCGCTGCCCTCGCCATTGTTTTAAATTTTTCATTATTTTTTTTTTGAAGATCTTAGAATCAGAAGGCTCCAAGCTTGGTTCCAAAATCAACCAACGTTACAAGCACAACCGGTGTACATTTGAATAGCCGTGCATCCTTTGCGGTCCTATTTTAGACTGTACCGCCAATTTATAATTACTAAAGCGGTAGACCTGTGTGGTACTGGTCAAACCGTAAATTCCACCTGAGATGAAAATCTAGTTTGTTTTTAACTATAGCTTCTCTTATTGAAGAGCTATTGAAAAGTACAAAAATGTTTTTAATTTGGTGCTTGTTGATTTGTTTTATTTCGTTCTGTTTCTTGTTTTTAATCATATCTCATTGAAGACAATTTTGAAGAACAAAAATGTTTTTAATTTAAAATATGAAACCGGATAAATTTTCTATATACGTTTTGATGTTTGTTTGGTTTTTTTTTGTTTTTGATTTTTATGTTTGTTTGTTCTGGTCTTTGTTTTTTTTTTCCTTTAAATATGTTAGTTTTGGTAATGTTTGTTAGTTTATAATAAAAAAATATGCAGTACGCTCTCGGTATAGTTAATGGCCTATACAATTAGTAAAGGATTAGCGTACATCATCACCTTATACACTTTAACATCGTTGGTATTTGTTTGCTTATTTTAGCTTTTGTTTGTATGTTTGTTTGTTTGTTTTTGTGTTTGTTTGTTTATTTCTATGTTTGAGAGTAAAGAATTTCCCGCTCTGTTTCAAAATTAAAATGTTTAAAAGATATCCATTAAAATATCTCAAGAAGAATATATCAAGTTGTATTAACATTAAGAAATACAGGACTCGTATTTCGTATCTGGAATATGTCTTAACTTTACATACTTAACATTACAAGGAATATGTCTATAATTCCCCCTTATACCTAATAATACCTTCACTCTCACTTTTTAATAAATGACATGAAATATTTGGCTCAAACTCAATTTTCTAATTGCTATATCTTTGGAACCTGTTGGTGTAAATCTTTGATAAAATTCAAAGTTAGATTATTTGATCTAACACAATTCATGATATCTAAGGTCTACAACATTGGTTCGATTTTTTTAAAAACTTAAAATTTTTTCAGACTTTTGAAGGATTCCAACATTTCACAACTGTCTCCAGCTGTAAATGTTTCCTTTTATCAAATTATATAAAAATTTTATATCAAGAGAAAATGTAAAAGAAATTTGGGTTTGGTTCATCTTTCAGGGTTAAAATTTTGCAAAGTATAAAATAAACACTGTTGAAATTTATTAAACTACTGACATTTTTGCGGAACCTTTAAAAAGTTTGCAAACCTTAAAAGTTAAAAAACGAACAAAGTTATTTTCTTTAAATTCCTATGTTTAAAGGTGTCAGGCAGAATTAGGATGAATTTCTTTTAAAAACATTATTGAAACTTGTCCCTATGAAAATATAATTGAAAAACAGTATAGTTTAAATCTGGATAGAAGATTCTCTCGGGGTTCACACGTAAACATATTCAAGGACATATTTCTTCGTTTTTCCCTATCTCTTGTCAGATCTGTTATTTACATTTATATCTCTTATCTATATATCTATCTATCTATCTATATTTATATATTGTTCCAGCTTATACTATTTATATATATATATGTATATTGTGTACAACTACAAGTATATATATTGTTTCAGTATAAGTACTAGTTTATGCTAATAAGTTCTTTTGTTCTCTTTCTTATAGAGAACAGTAGGCATACTCCCCTTTCAAGACAGACTCAAATCTTCTGATCCAAATATCTTTGCAACCTGATGGTGCAAACCTTTTATATTTTAAACTTAGATTAATTTATCTATAAGTATAAATAGTTTGAAAAATCTAAGGTCTACGGCATTGGGTTACAAAGATATAGAGATTAG